GGTGCCCGGAATCTAAAACAATACGATAAGTCCCTATTCCTTCAATTGGGGCCTTCACACGGTTCCCCATGAACAAGAAGTTCTCATTTGGGTTTATGCTCTGGATTGTAAGAAATCCCTGCATCACATTAGAAACATGAGTTGTAGCACCAGAATCCAACCACCAAGTATTTGAAGGAACTTCAGACAAGTTTGATTCGAAACATACAAAGATATTAGAAATACCTTTCTTTTCAAACCAAGACTTGCGTTTCGGGCAATCTTTCTGTATGTGACCTTCTTTCCTACAGAAATAACATTTATTTGCCCGATTTTCCTTCTTTTCATCATTAGTGACCTGTGAAACTTTAGCATGTCCTTTCTTCTTAAACTTGTTGGATTTCGGTTTGAGGACATCATTAGCTCCTCGACCCACAAGGTTGACCGTATGAACTCCTTGAGCCTTAAGCCTCGTCTCCTCTTGAACAAGCTTTCTGGCCAATTCATTAACATCCCACTTATCCTTAATAGTGTTATAGTTAATTTGAAAAGGCCCATATTCAGGAGGCAACGAGTTAAGCATAAATTGCACCAGAAATGAGTCATCCACAGTCATACCCATGGACTTAAGCCTTGCTGCAAGATTAGTCATGTCAAGAACATGTTGCTGCATACTACGCGACCCATCATACTTTTTGGTCGTGAGTTCAGCCATAAGTGTTCCTGCCAATGACTTATCTGCGGAACGAAAATGCTCTTCCACAAGCAAAAGATATGCTTTCGCATCCACATTATCGGGAAGAGTTGACTTAATGTTGTTGGCAATCGTCATTCGCATAAAGCTCAAACATAATCTGTTGTCCCAAGCCTTACGGTTTGATTTCTCAGCCTCACTGCTTTGATCACTAATGTCAGCGGGCTTTTCTTCAAGCAGAGCCAAGTTAATATCCAAAACACCTAAATGGAAATTGACTTGCTCACGCCATTCAGAGAAATTCAAACCATTGAAGACAGTAACAGAAGAAGTTTGCGAATGAAGAGAGATAGCTGCACAATCATAACGCTCACTTAATTAATAAATTCAGATAATACATTCATCACATATATTCCAGGTCTTCTTTGGGTAAACACAACAATATATATCATTATCATAAGTCGAATGTCATTTAACACATAATGAGAAATTAAATAAACTTCATCTAACATACATAGTATCTTTGGATATCTACATACGCTCGACAAAGGATATCATATTTCTCCTTAATGCTTATTAGTTATAGAACATTGATTCACCTTTGGGTAAATCCATAATTTCTAACAACCAATAAACTCATTAATCCATAATAATGACATTCTCAAGAGAACATAAGTTATATGACCAAACATTAGAAAATTAATCCGGTCACTTTGGTGACTAACAAATTAATTTTCACTTAATGTCATATACAATCAATTGTAACAATAATATGATATGACCGGGCATTAAAAAATTAATTAGGCCACTTTGGTGACTAACAAATTAAGTTTTACTTAATGTCATATAATAAACATTCATAACGATAAAAGTATATGACCGAACATTAAAAATTAATTAGGCCACTTTGGTGACTAACTAATTAATTTTGCCTTAATGTCATATAACAATAAATAATCATAATGTTAACAAACTAACCCTTATAATTCATAAACATAATGAGAGTTTGTAAATTCAATCATCATCAACCAAAACATA